ACCAGTGCTTGGGTCCAAATCCAAGCCTGCGCCTCAGCCGTAACCTTGGTCAGACTCCTTCACCTCTCCTGTCTGATCCCCCTCTGTGACATGGGGGAAATAACCTCCAAACAAAAACAAGTGAGCATGTACAAAGCACTTAGAACAGTGTCTGTAATGTAGTAAATAACCCAGCTGACGTTATTTTTCATCATATAGGTTAACATTTTCATCCGTGATTCTAACACACACAGTGCTCACAGAGCCCTTGCTGAAATGTTGCTCGTTCCCACACTCAACCCATAGCATGCACCCTCCTCTGGCCCACTGTGACCCTGAAACTCACCCCTCTGGGATGACTCATGGGGGCCCCTGAGCCCAGGGATGCTGTCAGACGGCCTGGCCTGCAGGGCAAGGCTGACAGCAATGACTCCCACCAAGCCCACCGCCAAGCCCAGGGCACAAACCACGGCCTCCATCGTCTCAGGCAGCTGGGTTGGCTCCTGAGCCTCTGTGGACAGAGGGAAGATGGCATTAGAAGGTGCAGAGAGCAGGGGCTGGCCTTGGGCGTGGGGCATGTTGGGCGTTAAAACCATGAGATGGTGAGAATTAGGTAAAGCAACAATAAAGATGGAGTTGGGAGAGCAAGTGTGGAGGGGATGTGGACCCTGAAAATAAAGGTTCTGTGGACAGAGGGAAGATGGCGTTAGAAGGTGCAGAGAGCAGGGGTTGGCCTTGGGCGTGAGGCATGTTGGACGTTAAAACCATGAGATGGTGAGAGTTAGGTAAAGCAACAATAAAGATGGAATTGGGAGAGCAGGTGCGGAGGGGACGTGGACCCTGGAAATAAAGGTGGTGTCAAGGTGATGGCGGAGGAGACGCCATACCCCAGTGCTCCAGGAGTGGCCGGTCCAGGCCCCAGTGCTCCACCTTGCAGTCGTAGACGTCCTCGGCCATGGGGAGGAAGGGCAGGTAGTGGAACTTATGGAACAGGAACTCAGTGCTGGGCAGGAAGATGGTCTCAGCGACACCCTCAGTGACTGGCTGTCCATTGCGCAGCCACGTGATATTGAGATTGAGCACGGGTGGAAAGAACTTGTCCACGTGGCAGATGAGGATGTTGGGCTGGCCCAGCTCCACAGGCTCTTTGGGAAACACGGTCACCTCGGGGGGGGTCTGAAAGGAGACAGACCTGGTAAGTCTATGGCCTTTGGCTGAATCTCAGAGGTTCCTGCACCCTGAGCCTTACATTCTCTAGATCAGGGACCACCTGTCTCAGGCCAACCCTTCTGCTTCCCGAGGACTTCTGGGTAATGGTGACAATTCTCTTGCTCCTGAGCTGCCCCCTCAGCTCAACCTTTCTCCTAAGTGAGAGCAAAATGCCTCCTTCTCTGATGACCTACACACCAGCTTTGTGGACCAAATATCATCCACTCCAGGGAAGGACTGGCCATGAGCGGGCCTCTGGCTCTCACATTCTCTGGGGCAGAGGGGCCCCTCCATCCTTCTAGGTGGGCTGTAAAGAAATAGGCAAAGGTAGGCAATACCATGGATGGCCCGGGTGTGTCCAGACCGTTGGATCATAGAGATCAAGTTCCC